TCTGTACCTTTTCACATTTACTTGCAAACATTTGTTATTTAGCCGTGAATCAAAGAGACAGCATTTATTGGCACAACCTTCTGTGGCGGACAGCAACACCCTTGTTCCATCTATTACCAACAGATGGCTCTTTAGAATGACACTCACTTTGTGACCTTTAGCTAGGACGGTTTCATTTTGTGACAAGGACAACTCCTCAGGAGCTGCTCTGCGTCTTCAGTCAGCATGCATATTTATCAGCCTCCTCCAAAGAGGGATTTAATCTAAATTATTGCAAGGTTATCCATCTTGAATTCAATAACTTTGTCTGTTGAGGCAATAAAGAATTATATTAGAACAATTTAAGCAGTCAGTTTTGGAAATGTATTTCTCATAGAGTAGAGACATGAGGAAGGGCCAGTGGAGTGGTAATGTAAATCTTATAAGAATAAAAATAAGCAAATTAAACAGATTTGTTGGTGCTGCAGGTTATATGCATTTAATTCAGCTTTGGGGTAAATGCCACCTTATCTAGTAACATGACAGAAAACATTGACACTAAACAAACTTTGCTTAAAGTAGACTTTGACCCAATCAATCCTTGCTGCTATCCACCCTGAGTTGTAGCTGTAGCATGACATGTTCATCCTGTAAACCTACCTTCAAGGATATTTTATTGAATAAACTAGATAAAGACAGCTTCACATCCCTAAACGACTTGAAATTGAATTTGAAAAGTCAAAGGTGAAGACTTACACTGGTGTCCAAATGTGATAATAAGGTGTTAAGTGTGGATCCAATAAGATAAAGAAGGACAATTAAGGACAATAATAATAGAAATGTTTACACATCACACTGATGCTACTATATCATCAAACAGAAAAACAAAACAGGATTCAATTTCATAAATGTTTTCAAACAAAATGGCGTAAAGTACCTATCGATGTAATTTGCGCAGAAACTGTTTTGTAAATAATCCATAGAACTACATACAGAATGACAGGCAGCCACAGGGGATTACGGTTTAAACATTTAACTAGTGTTCCTGACTTAACTTCCTAGTTGGCTCATTAAGATTTATGTCTTAAAAATATTTATTCCAAAATATTTAAAGGAATTTATATGACTAATTAAAACAATTAGTAAAAGGTGAAGCAGAGATCTAAACTATTGTTAGGAATTTACTAAAAAGAACATGAATAAATATGCACTTTTTGGTTATAAGTATCCCAAAATTTGCCAAAAAATTCCCAAATTTTAAATTGAATAGAATTAAAAGAGATGAAATTAATCCCAACCTTTAATATTTGTTCATGGAGTTTGCACTTAATATCTGTGCATACTAAGTTTCTTTCCTGGAAATTTAACTTCTTCCAGGGGTCAAAAATATGACTTTTAGGTTAATTGTGTAAAGCATGCATGGTTATTTGTTCTGTGTGTCTCTGTGTTGCCATGTGCTGGACTGATGACCTGTCCAAAGTACCCAGCCTCTTACTCAATTACTACTGGAGATACCAGACAGCCAGAGCTATGTGGGGTGGCTCAAGTACAGATGCTGGTGCTAAACCCAGCAGCTGTGGGTTCAATTCTTGCCCCAGGGTTCGCTTTAAAAAGCAGTTTAACTGAAAACTGTAAAACTGTTATCCGTTTCACAAAGAGATTTTTCTCAACCTCTGTTTCGGTAACCATAGTAACATTGTCCCGAGAGCTAACCTAGTCAGGAGCCGGTTTTGTTCAGTAAACTCAGGGTGTCCTCTGTCTCCGCTCTCCTTGGAGCCAATCGTGTTGTTTTATTTCCTGATTTACTCAGGAGATTTTTCTCTTGCAATTGAAAAAATCATTCTTTATGTCCATTAGACACATTTTGTTTTGAAAACAAACATTGTTTGTTTTCATGATTGGCATTAATTCAGACAATTAAATATTTATTGGGAGAAGATTCTACAACTCAGTCGATAGGATCATGAAATGTATTTGTTTTTCAGTTTGATTAGCGACATGCGGAAATTTTTGTTATGTATATATTTTTACAGTACATGAAGAACTACTAAATTAATTTCAGATTACAGATAAACAGATTGATAAATTCTGCTGTGGAGAACAAATCACTTTAGGGTTAGGATTAGGTTCATTCAGTGATAACAACCGACTGAGCCTACTGGTATACAGGAGGCACAACCTGAATACATTCTATGGACTGATTACCTCTAAAAGCAGCCTTTTATTGGGATGATAACATCCGAAGCGGCTGCAAACAGCCACTTAGTATTTACTGTGTAATGTGAGACAGAATCAAATTGAGGAGGAACCCCATGAAATGATGCACAGATCCTATCTATTGGAGCAACGTTTTTATGCTGGTGAAGATTCTCAGTCATCCAGGTCATAGTCATTCAAAAAAAAGTTAAAAACAAACCACTGGACTGTTATCTGAGTGTGAAGATGTTTCACTTTCCATCCAGAAAGCTTTGTCAATTCAAAATGTCTGGGTGTAACATTGAGCTCCAGGTCTTTATAGAGTAGCCAAACAAAGACCTTGTTAGAAAACATGCAAATTGAACTGAAAACAGGTCCACCCCATTGTAATCGGGAGTTGTTAGGGTCTTTGTTGGCCTGGTTAATTTGCAGGTCAACAACAACCTTAATCTGATGTAGTCCTCTGTTCAGGACTAGCTTGATTGTAGGAAGCGGGCAGTTGTAGTTCTATGCCTGGATATATGTGTGGTCTATTGAAGCACTGACTGTAGTATGAACCTTTCTTTTCCTTAACTGGTTCATTGCTTCTAATATTATTTTTAACTGTCTTTGTTTTTTTTCAGCTTTATGTTTCAAATTTTTTTATCACATATGTGTGCAGCACTTTGTTGCATGGTTATTTTAGAATTGCTTATCTAGTCCATTGCTTTAGGGGTCCTCTCAAAGTGTTTGCATGTGTCTCGTTTTCTATAGTTTTTTCCTTCCACTAAACTTAAACTAATACGATGCATTCTATAAACAGCGCTCCATACTATGCAGTCAGCACCTTTAGCACCTAGATTTTGTAGCTTTTCCTCCTTGTAGAGGGTGCCTGTGACTGTTCAGTCAGAAGTCTCCCTCATGATTGTTAATCTAATAATCATGAAAAAATACATTCATCAAAAAGGTCCTATCTTTTAAGAGGTCCTAACTTTTTTTAATCCACATATGTTTAGCAACTCAAAAAATCCATACTGGTATATTTATTATAAAATGAAAAATAAATATACAATGAGTATCTTGAATTAGATCTGTGATGTGAATATTGTTATTTTCTCATATCGTTTTATTTTTTTAATCAATTATTTTCAATTCAATTAATCAGAGTTGTCAAGTAATGAAGTACAAATACTTTGTTACTGTACTTACTGTACTACACTTTTCAGGTATCTATACTATACTCCATTTCTTATTTTTCTTCCTACTTCTGACTTCAACTCAATTTTTTCACAAGTATCTGTACTTTCTATTCCTTACATTTTTAAAACTAACGTTACTTGGTGCTCTTGGCTTCGGTTTAATGTTTATAAATATTTATTTCACGTCATGTGCGCCATCCAATGCAGATCATTGGCACGATCCACATCTAGTCAAAACTAATGGAATTGGATGAGTCACATAACGCAAACACTCATTAGTTAGCTATTTGTCAAATTTGTGCTGAGGCCAAAGGAAATCATCAGAAGCAAGCAGGTGTTCCTCAAGCTGTAAAGATAAATTATCCATTCCATGCTACAATGTCGGATTAAAACAAAGATGTTGAAATGTCTGAAAGGTCGGACATAGGCGAGAGCGTATCGGGAGATGGAGACCAACAAGACCTCCCTCATCCTTGGCCCAAATGGCATTATGACACAACAATAGGCCCACAAGCAAAATTATCTGGGTGGGCCCAATACAGTTCCATAAATCGGCCAAGAAGATACAATTATGCAATTCTTAGTAATATATGATGACACATCACAATTCATTGGTGACAGCGCACCACAACATGTTACAGACATCCCAAGTTCCAAAAACTAATTTCAGGGAGATGCTTATCTACGCTCTGGGTTACCCATAAATCCAAGGTGTAGTGTAAAAAATAAAATACTCAATTACATTGTTCTTTTAAGATCTTTATTTCGGTTTGAAGCATATTTTATGAGTTTATTTTTTACCAACCGTCTAATGAACTATACATAGTTATTAACATAGTAATTAAAAGTACCACTGTCTGCTTTGCTATTGGTGTTGTGTTTAAACAAAATCTGCCATGTGTCGGGGTATAAATAAGGTCCAGTCAGTCAATTTAGTATCAAGTGGGTTTAAGAGGATTTTTTCCCCATGATTACATCTACAAAGAGACGTCCTAGTCCACAATTGTGTAGAGGGCCTACCAGGAGTCACTGATGGGACCCCTAAGAGGTCGGGGGCCCCCTAAGCAACTGCAGTCTCTGCTTACTGATAGTTATGCCATTGAATCTAATAACCATTAAAAACTACATTCATCAAAGAGGTCCTATCATTTAAAAGGTCCTAACTTCTTTTAATTCACAAATGTTTAGCAACTTAACAAATCCATATTCTAAAATTTAAAATAAATATAGAAAACGTGTGATCTGAATATTGTTATTTTCTCATATGGTTTTAATCTTTTCAAAGGGTATAATGAATTATATGCAAGCGAGGTGTAAAAGCAATGTTTATGAGGAAAAAAATGTATCAAAACAATCTGTAAAATAATGCTTAAATGCTAATATGAATGTGATATGTATCTGTAGTTACAGGAAGCTTTAGTAATGCTGCCATTACAAAAATAAGCAAAGCCATGAGTCAATAAATCGACTTATATTCCTTTGGAGGGACTCCTTAAAGTCGCAGAGCAGCCCATCAGAAGCAGGGAGAGCTGTGGGGCTCCTGGTTGCAGACTCAGCCCGGTGTGGTGGGGGGGCGGGCTTCCATAGAGCAGCAGCATGATTCGCTGCTCGCTCCGGATACTAAAACCCGGTCCACCTCCCCTCCCCTCCCCTCTCTCTCCCCGTCTCCCACTATAACCTCCAAAATCACTCGGAGCTCGATTGGTTTGGTCTGGCTGCAGAAACCATGGCAGAGCATGAGGATTGCGTCTCGATTCCTGAATTCAGCAACCTTCTCCAGACGGACCCTAACCTCCAAAAGTATGAGAACGACTTCAGGAGAAGGTAAAGCCACCGACTCACGCTGCGGTTGTGTGCACAGCTCGTCAAAGTCGGGGAAGAGCCACGCTTTCCCTGCATATGTGTCTTGAAACACATTAAACACACCTGACATTCACAAGTCGACATTAGTGCAGCAGGAAATCTCCTTCTGGGGCGTGAATGAGAAGAAAGAAGCACAGAGCTCAGTTCCCTCACATGCACAGTGGGATAAAACCTTTCAACCCTCCCCCTCCCCTCTTCAGCAGCATTCCCAAACCTTCAGCTGTGAAAAATAATCAAAACACGTCCAGCAATGCTTCGTTTTGCAGGAGAACGCCATTGTTAACTTCCTGCGTGTGACATCAGAAGTGGAGTCAGCTGATGTTCTAAGGCGGCGCTTTCTTCTCAGTCTGATGTGTGAATAGGAAGATCAAATTGCTGTGCAGAGTTTGAAGCATGCAGCTCCAGCAGGCTGCTGGCCTTTCCACCGCCACTGACCTCAGATGGCTGCAGAGTGTCGCAGGATTTGCTTGTTTTAACCCAGAGTTGACCTTGAAGCAAATTTAGACATGAGACTCATGCATGGAGCAACAGACTGTTTGTGTGCAGCTCAACTGACAGACTGTTTTGCAATATTTAGCAATTTTTTTTATGACATCAACCACCTCCCTTTTTTTTCCTTCTCGGATGTCTTAAAAGCGGTTGCAGTTTCCATCATGTAACATTGTAGCATATTGTGTCCTCAGATATGAGAGGCGTAGCCAGAATTTTTATTTAAAGGTGGCCAGCAGGGGCGGATCTAAATGGAGGGGCCAGGGCCGTCATTGGCCACCCCTGTGGCTAACCATACCGTTTTTTTCCCTTGTAAAGCCCGGTGTACACTGTGTGATTTTCAGGGCAATTTTGCAGTCGTGCGAGAATCTTTCGATCGGGCCGACTTTCAGCCTGATCGTGAGTCGTGTAGTGTACAGGGGGTAACGAGGGGCGATCAGCCTCTCACGACCACCTCCCGATCAGGAATCGTGAGGTCTGGGGAAAAGCAAACATGTTTGATTTTTTTCCCGCCTGTCGAGGGCAAATCGCTCAGTGCGCAAAGAAGGATTTTTCTTTTTCTTCTTCCTCTCAGATGTAAACACAGCAGTGTGACAGGGATGCAATGAGTGAAATGCAGCTCTGTCTGTGAAATTCAGAGATCGTAGTAGCCACTTTTGATCAGCCATGTCTTTGTCCAAATACGTCGTCACATTTTCTTTTTAGGGCTTTCAGCACAAAATTGCACAAATTGCCAAGGCAGCATGTTTCACTCTAGTGAACTTCATATTCCCCTTCTATTTGTTTGGCTTCCGGATAGACAAGTCAGAGCAGCTCCATCTCACTGCGGAGCTGAGTCCGACGTGATTTTTAGTCGCTAAGTGTGAGCAGGTAGATCGCATGAGAGCGTCGGGCCAAACATAAATCTTGAGCTGTGAGCTCACACTGTACGACTAAACCCTGTGGTTGGTTGTACAGCGCAACGATTGATAAAAAAAATCGCACAGTTTACGCACAGTAATACAGACGATGGCAGCAGTAATACTATGAAGGGGAATGTTCAAACATATTAAAAATAAAAATGTTTTCATATATTAACTACTTGACAACAGAAACACTGTGGTTAATGATGCACATCAATATACAAACATTAAAGATGATAAATACAGAATTCATGTTTTTTTTAGAACTAAATTTTGAATTATTTGGGGTAAAGATACAATTTTGTGCCTCTGTAAGTCTTCAGAGTCTTCAGGTGAAATCAATTATAAATAACTACTTTAATAATAACTTACAAATGTATTAAATGTGGATGTCAGTAGATTTAAATATCATTTATTTGCAGAATGATTATTGATAAAAGTAAGTAAAAAAAATTTAAAATATGTTAGCTGCAGAACCCAAACCTGAAATAATTTTGTCTACTATACCTTTTATTTACATAGCATAGATGGTTAAATATATCTGTCTATTTGTTAGCAAAGGCTGCAAGAAAGTATAGTTTGTCTTTATTTAGAAAATATGGATGTTGTGATCGTTCCTGTTGGAACAGTGTAGATTGACCCTGAGGTTCTGGAGCTTTTCGGCCACCCCTCAGTGTACATTGGTTATTGACTGGCCACCCCTATTAGGATTTTCTTGCTACGCCTCTGTTGGCCAGGCAATAACCAATGTACACTGAGGGGTGGCCAATAATGTATCAGCGCCAGAACCTCAGGGTCAATCTACACTGTTCCAACAGGAAAATTAACGGGCAAAACATCCACATTTTCAAAATTAAACTTATTTTTCTACAGTCTTTGCTAACAAATACAGGTGCTGGTCATAAAATTAGAATATCATGAAAAAGTAGATTGATTTCAGTAATTCCATTTAAAAAGTGAAACTTGTATATTATATTCATACATTACATACAAACTCATATATTTCAGATGTTTATTTTGTTTAATTTTGATGATTACAAATGACAACAAATGAAAATCTCAAATTCATCATATCAGAAAATTAGAATATTGTGAAAAGGTTCAAAATTGATGGCCCCTGGTGCCACACTCTAATCAGCTAATTAACTCAAACCACCTGCAAAAGCCTTTAAATGGTCTTTCAGTCTAGTTCTATAGGCTACACAATCATGGGGAAGACTGCTGACTTGACAGTTGTCCAAAAGACGACCATCGACACCTTGCACAAGGAGGGCAAGACACAAAAGGTCATCGCTAAAGAGGCTGGCTGTTCACAGAGCTCAGTGTCCAAGCACATTAATAGAGAGGCGAAGGGAAGGAAAAGATGTGGTCGAAAAAAGTGTACAAGCAAGAGAGATAACCGCACCCTGGAGAGGATTGTGAAACAAAACCCATTCAAAAATGTGGGGGAGATTCACAAAGAGTGGACTGCAGCTTGAGTGAGTGCTTCAAGAACCACCACACACAGACGTATGAAAGACATGGGTTTCTGCTGTCGCATTCCTTGTGTCAAGCCACTCTTGAACCACAGACAGCGTCAGAAGCGTCTAAAGAGAAACAGGACTGGACTGCTGGTGAGTGGTCCAAAGTCATGTTCTCTGATGAAAGTAAATTTTGCATTTCCTTTGGAAATCAAGGTCCCAGAGTCTGGAGGAAAAGAAGAGAGGCACTTCATCCACGTTGCTTGAAGTCCAGTGTAAAGTTTCCACAGTCAGTGATGGTTTGGGGTGCCATGTCATCTGCTGGTGTTGGTCCATTGTGTTTTCTGAGGTCCAGGGTCAACGCAGCCACATACCAGGAAGTTTTAGAGCACTTCATGCTTCCTGCGGCTGACCAACTTTTTGGAGATGCAGATTTCATTTTCCAACAGGACTTGGCACCTGCACACAGTGCCAAAGCTACCAGTACCTGGTTGAAGGACCATGGTATCCCTGTTCTTAATTGGCCAGCAAACTCTCCTGACCTTAACCCCATAGAAAATCTATGGGGTATTGTGAAGAAGAAGATGCAATACACCAGACCCAACAATTCAGAAGAGCTAAAAGCCACTATTAGAGCAACCTGGGCTATCATAACACCTGAGCAGTGCCACAGACTGATCGACTCCATGCCACGCCGCATTGCTGCAGTAATACAGGCCAAAGGAGGCCCAACTAAATACTGAGTGCTGTACATGCTCATACTTTTCATGTTCATACTTTTCAGTTGGCCAACATTTCTATAAATCCTTTGTTTTTATTGGTCTTCAGTAATATTCTAATTTTCTGATATGATGAATTTGGGATTTTCATTTGTTGTCATTTGTAATCATCAAAATTAAACAAAATAAACATCTGAAATATATGAGTTTGTATGTAATGTATGAATATAATATACAAGTTTCACTTTTTAAATGGAATTACTGAAATCAATCTACTTTTTCATTATATTCTAATTTTATGACCAGCACCTGTATATGCATATATTTAAACATCGATGCTCTAGATAAAAGGTATAGTGGATAGGATTCTTTCAGGTTAGAGTTCTGGGGCGTACATCATTTCCATTGATAATCCATAAAATCTATATTTACAAGTACTTAAACCTACCTATAAGTATTTTATACCTTTGTATTAAAATGGTTATTTATCTATGATTTCACTGAAGACTCCTGGATGACTTGCAGAGACATCATTTTATTTTTAGAATTTTATTCCATGTACATCAAAATGTAGTTCTGAAAAGATCATGAATTCTGTACTTATAATCTTTAATGTTTGTATACTGATGTGTACAAGGGCGTAGGTTCGGTCTAAGTTTTGGTGGGGACCTTGGTGGGGACCTTGATCATAAAAATCATAAAAAGGGGAACAGATTATTTCAGTCAGCTAAAATATATGGTTCCCCTCCTTTAATTTTGGCAAATAATGCACACATGTCAACAAATCCACATGATTTGTTGTTGGTGAAGAGAGGAATAAGCACAGTCAAGGAACTGTGTGCTGTTTAATGTTTTAGCTGATTTTCCCCATTTCATTTCATTATATTTATTATATTTTTTTAAATTGTTCTCTTATATTATTTTATGATTTTTTAAATTTTATTATGTATTTTATATGTGCAACACTTGGTCAACATGTTTCTGTTTTAAATGTGCTATATAAATAAAGTTGATTGGGTTGGATGAGACGGTTCTCAGCGCCTCTCTGCTTGCGTAAATTGAAGTACACACAAATTTTGGTTTTGTGTGGGAAGCGGCAAAAAAAAAAAAAAAAAAGACAAAAAAAATGAGTCAACATCTGCACCCTCAGGGCTAAGCCCCTGATCTCCTAGAATCCTAGATCTGCCCCTGTCTGAGAACTAACACCTCACCTGGAGCCCTGAAGCTCCGGCCACCTCTCTATCGTTCTGCTCTGCCCCTTGCTCTGCTGTCTGAGCATCCTATGTGAAAAAAATATTACATAATTAACAGATCTGTTCTACCTCACATTCAGTGCTGACCTTACTAAACACCGGACTTTACAACAAATGCGTTGCGTGATAGATATCTAA